CTGACCAGATTTAACTTACGAGGAAGAACCAGTGCAGATCTTAGCTACAGAAAACAAAGGACTGCGTAATAAAAAGATTCCTATAGTTAAAGTACTATGGAAAAATCACAAAGTAGAAGAAGCTACTTAGGAAAGAGAAGAGAACTTGAGGAAACAATTTCCACACCTCTTTGTATCAGGTACTTCTTTAAATTCGAGGATGAATTTTCTTAAGGGGGAGAATTGTAATACCCCAAGTATCGGATCGATGATCATAATAAAGGGATTTAAAATTTAGAGGATTAAATTGAATAAATGATAAAGTATAAGAAATTATTTAAATTTTTTTTATTAAAACCAATTAGTAAGAATCAAAGGGTCTTTTGGTCCTTGAGAGGGAAATGGATTTAAAATTTTATTTTTTATAAGGTATTTAAAGTAAAGGAAGAAGGGGAAAAGGGGACAAACAAGCTAAGTTCTCTTCTTCTTCCCCCGTTGCTCGTGCTCTCCTCCATAGCCAAAGGTAAGGCTTCATTTAGCTAGTTTTTCCTTTCGTTTTTGGTTTGTTCTTGAAACCTTAAGTGTGGTGGAAGCTTAAGAGATGTTTAAAGATGATTAAAACTAATAAATGGATGACTTATTGGAGATTGAAGAAAATGGGGTTTTGAGTGATTTATTGAAATATGAGTCTTTATTGATGTTTACAAGCATAATTGGCTTGTCAAAGAAGTATATAAGATATTAGAAGCATTGGATGTGATTAAAAACAAATTAGAAAAAGTAGTATGATTCATTTGAGATGTTCTTTGGAGAATTTAGATGTTATAAGGAGCTAAATAAAGGAAAGTTAGTTGGGATAAGTAAAGAAGAGCTTAATAGTATTGTTGGAGGTAAAAGTAAGGGAATTTCACAAAATTGCTGGAAGAACAATATCGATACTATAGGTTTAAATTTGAAGAAATACGATGAACAATATCGATATTGATGCAATTAGTAGCGATACTAATGTGGGTATCAATACAAAGAGGAAGGTATCGATACCATGGATTCCAGAATGCAAAAACAGTATCGATACTGAAGGGAGTATCAGTACCATAGTATAGAAATATTGATACCATGGTAAGGGCACCGATACTATTGAGTCTGGAAAATTAATATAGTACGAATTTTGATAGAAATTTAATATAATATTACTTTTAAGTATTATTAAAAGTATAAATGTTAGAGAGTATACTAACATTGGTATGGTATGTGTACTTATTGGATGCTTGTGTAGATCGTAACCAAGCTCCCGAGTCAAGCAAGTAAAAAAGCAAAGATAAGGTTGTTGAATAGTTGGACATTTTTAAAGCATATTAACGAGGCGTACCAGGTGAGTGCATTTATTATGTACATTAAGAGTTATAGTTGCATGTGGTCAAATGCATATATTGCATTGTTATATCAATACTATATGTACTATCGGCACTAAGTTTGCAACCCACGGAATTCATAATATGTTTATGAACGACCGTATCAACACTAAATGTGCAACCCACGAAATTCATAATATGTTTATGAATGACCGTATCGGCACTAAGTGTGCAACCCACGGAATTCATAATATGTTTATGAACGACCGTATCAACACTAAGTGTGCAACCACGGAATTCATAATATTTTTATGAACGACTGTATTGGCACTAAGTGTGTAACCCACAGAATTCATAATATGTTTATGAACGACCGTATCTGCACTAAGTGTACAACCCACGGAATTCATAATATGTTTATGAACGACCGTATTGGCACTACGTGTGCACCCATAGGACTTATAATGATTTGAAAAAAACTAAATTCGAATTTGATAGTTAAGATATACTGATGCATTGATTTCACCTTTATAGTGTTATTGCCTCACTAAGTAAATACTTAATGTGTGTTTATTTCACGCGTAGGTTTTAGCAAGCAGAGTAAGGAGTGCATTTGACATCGTAAATCAAGAGTTGCCTCATCAGTAACTGTACGACAACTATGTCTATTTTTGATATTATTAATCGGCATGTAATAGAATTATGATAACGCTCTTAAAAGTATTTGATTTCTAATGATGTAAAAATATAAATGTTTGAACATTAAATTTTTGTTTACATACTAAAGTTTAATGATTGTTTTATTATTATTAAATTAAAATGTTTTATGAAAAGAAACAAAATTTTATTGGTTTTCAATAGAGGAAGTGGTTTAAAAGTGATGTGAAATATGTGTCTCGTGTACGGAAACGTATACGGGAAATTGGTGTTACACCACGCGTCTTCGCGTGCGCGTGGGGCTTGTCCCCGCTCTGGTTTATTCTAGAGCCAGCCTAACCCGGTCCGAATCGGGTCTGTTTGAGCCGAACCGAGTCAACCCAAGCCGGTACGTTAACTTTGACCTGGCCCGTTGACTGTTTACCGATCTAACCGTTTACTTTGATCGGTATGACCTTTAACTGTTGACTTTGACGAAAAAGTCAAATTTTCTAAAAAGTTCTATTTTATGTTTTTCGACGTCCTAAGTCCGAACCCGAAGTCTGTTTTTCCGAATTTGAACTCGGTAAGTCATTTTTTGTGTTTTATCTTTGAATTCAATTTAGTTTGATTAAGTTTAGTTTCTGACGTAAATTCGTTTGTTATGTATTCGAGACATTATGGGACGGGGAATTAAAGTTTGAGGGCGATCGAATGGAGTTTTAATGGTCGATCGATATGTTTGTAAGTTGCGGTAATACATTACTACCTTATGCATGTTGTAGGGAACATGTTAGTATTGATAAATGCATGGTTGATTATGATTACATGTGTAGTTAAAATTCTAAACTCGATTCGATTTCGAAATAAAACAAATTAAGCTGAATAAAGCTCAGACTACTTGTATAGACACAAGAAGACTGATAAGAATGATTTCAAGTTCAACAATTATCCAGAAAAACAAATAACCTCATAATCCCTAAATTTTATTTATCCTCATTAAAAACTTTAATATTGAAATTACCTAATTATGAAATTATAGAATTGCCCCTGAAGTGTAAAATGATCAAAACATCATTGAAGTGTAAAATGCTATATTATATAACCAATATGAACTAAATGAAAGTATTGTATGTATCTGAATTGTGGGAACGACTGAATTACTCTGTAAACTCCAAAATAATCGTGATCAACTTGATTACTAAATGACCTAAGTACCCTCAAAGACCTAGCATTAAGCGAATAACTTGGATAAGTCTGGAAATGCTGATGGTCTTGCATGTTGTACCGTCCATAAGGGTTTTGAACCCCAAATCAAGCACACCAACATTTCTTGATACCGTTGCAATTCAGAAATGAAACAAATACCATTGGAATACTTGTTCGTTTCTCTAAGATCTATTCAGCGATGATTCTGAAGATGATCAATTCGAAAAGAGTTGTTTGTATTAAAGTGTGAATACCCTTGAAGTGCAACGATTTGACTGGTTGATAGGTATCACAGTGCTTGGGATTTGTTCAGCTCGAGTTAACTCAATATCCTGACAAATCGAAACGAATCATAAATGCCCTAAATCATCGTTTCTCCCTTATTAGATCTAATTAATAAGAATTCTCCAAGAACTTATTGCTCAAAATGCCCCTAATTTTCTGAATAATGGAATCACTCATGTCATATCTAAATCACACGTAACTTTGATGAAAGGGATTCTGAATACCTTTTTGATTACATAGTGTCTCCGAAAAATATCCGAATATTATATGATCTTGATAAATCACGTCCCGAATAACTGATGAATTCGTCAACTATCAAACTCTTTTATAGGGATTTCATTTATAAATTTAATCAGTTTACAAAAGTTTCATGGCTCCATACATGATAAATACAAGTACCTTAAGAAAATAATTGGATCATCTAGTGTGTTCTCTATGCGTTATGTGATTGTATTATCTATTCTGAAATGTGTTTTATCGGGATTTTTGAGTTACTGAAGTTTTAAGTATGCCTGTCTGATTCTTGATCTTTGGTTACCGTTTCTACTGAATTGTAATGCCTGAATTAATACGACCCCAGAATCCCCCTACTCCTTTGTCTGGCCTCTAGCTCTATTTATCTCGCCTCATAACTTTGCCAAAAATCGAACTCTTTGGGTGGAGGCTCGCTCATGAAGCTCTTCCAGTGGCTCGGAGATTGGTAGTGGCTGGAATTGGAGATGGTGTTTGTGCTCTTTGTGGACTTTCCGATGAAACGGTTCTCCATGCTATGCGCGATTGTTCGGGTGCTAATGCCATTCACACTGCTACTGGTTTTGCTTCGTTCCTTCGCTCTCCATCTTCTTCGTGTGGCGAGTTGCTCGAAAGTTTGATGGGACTCTTACCGCCTGATCAGTTTGCGTGTTTATTAGTGTTGCTATACTCTATTTGGTACCGACGAAACATCTTCATTTATGAACAACGATTGTTGCCTGACTGTTTTATTATCTCTGAAAGTCAGTCTCTCCAACAATCTTTCTTAATTAATAATGGTCGTCCCTCCCCATCTCCAGCCGGTTCAATGCTTCGTCAGTGAAGGAAACCAAGTCCCGGTGAAGTAAAAATTAATGTAGATGCTGCTCGTCCATTGATCAACGGTCTGGCTGTAGTTGCCGCTTTTGTTCGTGGTGATAGCGGTTTTGTCATTGTTGCTCACACACGTGTGCTACAAAATCAAAATGATTCACTCAATTCAATTTACTTCATTTACAATATTATGATTCTAATCTCTAACATTATCTAAAATTATATAGCACTTCATCTCATTAAATCAACATATTGTTACTATTACATATTATATTTTTTAATAAAAATAAACATATTCCATTACATAAATTCAAATAAAACATTTAAAATCTAAATTTTCATTTGCAATTAAAAAATTACAATTAGTATTGTTTTTTTTATTATTTTGAGAAAACAATTAGTATTGTTTAAAATTGAAAATTACATAACAAACTATATATTTTTAAGGTGACAATAAGATCAAGGATCTGAAATGCGCAGTGTACGCTTGTCCATATAATCGTTCATACGTCTCGCTCGGGCAGAACTGGTAATGGGTTGGAACAAATAACTCTTTCGATCAAATAAACGAAGAAGAAGAAGAAGAAGAAGAAGATAAAAAAGAGAAAATTTTGTTTAAACAAAGATGGGAGACAGTGAAGACATACCAGAGTCAACAGTTCATAACATATTGGAACAAGAAACCCTCAAGTGGGTTTTCGTTGGTGGCAAAGGAGGTGTGGGTAAGACCACTTGTAGCTCCATTATTTCCATGCTCTTGGCTCGGGTCCGACCCTCTGTCTTGATTATCTCCACCGATCCTGCTCATAATCTCAGCGATGCTTTTCAACAGAGATTCACAAAGATTCCCACTTTGGTTTATGGCTTCAAGAATTTATATGCCATGGTATCCTTTACTTTTTTAATTTGGTTTTCCTTTCTGGGTTCTTTCTTCAGGTTTGTTTTGTTTCAAATCCAAGAAAAAAAACATGTCAATATGATTCTTATTCGTAATCCTGTGATGGATTCACCTGGTTTATGCTTTGTTATAACTTTGACAGTATGACTATGGTGATTTTCGTGGATATTTGTTTGTTTTTTCAATCAACTTCTTTCTCCATAGGAGGTGGATCCTACCGTGGAAAATGATGATTTTGGAGCCGAAGGAATGGATAGTTTGTTTTCTGATTTGGCTAATGCAATTCCAGGAATCGATGAGGCAATGAGCTTTGGGGAGATGCTCAAGTAAGAAATCTCGTGTCCTGTAACTGTTTGATAGTTTGTGATAAAATCATACGGTGAACGAGTTCACAATCAGTTTTGAAAACACCCTTTGATCAATTGTAGTCTGAATGTTTTCCTTCCCTGCAGATTGGTGCAGACTATGGATTATTCGTGCATCGTATTCGACACCGCCCCAACCGGACATACGCTTCGGCTTTTACAGTTTCCGGCTACCCTAGAGAAGGGACTTGAAAAAATGATGTCGCTGAAAAACAAATTTGGTGGTTTATTGAGTCAGGTATGACATTCAAGTTTAGATATCATTCCTTTCTTTCATGCCTCCTATGTTTGTCTAGGCATCGTTCTAAAGGCTATATACAATGGTTCTATTACATCGGTTCCATTCATTGCTTGCGTTGATTGCTTCAGATGACCCGTATTTTCGGGATTGAAGATGAATTCGGGGAGGATGCAATTGTGGGGAGGCTTGAAGGCATGAAAAATGTGATTGAACAAGTTAATAAGCAGTTCAAAGACCCTGTAAGACATGCCATTCTATATTTTTTCCCATACAATATAGTTGGTTCCCATACAGCTATAATTCACTGTCCTTTGGGCAGGACTTGACAACCTTCGTCTGCGTTTGCATTCCGGAGTTCCTCTCTCTGTACGAAACGGAACGATTGGTGCAGGAACTCACCAAGTTCGAGATAGATACACATAATATCATCATCAACCAAGTACTTTTTGATGATGAAGGTACCGCTTGCTTTCTTTCTTAAGTCCATTTTTCCTTCCTGTCCCACCGGAATCGTTGCTTACTGTCTATTGGTCTGTTTTTTGTAATTTAAGATGTCGAGTCAAAGCTATTAAAAGCTCGGATGCGGATGCAACAAAAGTATCTGGATCAGTTTTTCATGTTATATGATGACTTTCATATCACTAAGCTGCCACTGCTGCCTGATGAGGTGAGGCTCAAGCATCTGTTGGTAAGAATGTTGATTTGAATAGCCCTTAACTAGCCTTATATGGTGTTAATAGGTTACCGGGGTTGCGGCTCTGAAGAAGTTTTCTCGCCATTTTATTACACCATATGAACCAGCCCCAAAGGGAACAGTGGAAGAGCTACAGCAAAGACTGTCACGGTTGAAGGAACAGTTGGTCGAGGCTGAAGCCGAACTCGAGAAACTCTGAAAAAGGAAAGAAGAAGGTCCGGCTGCCTGCCGTTTTATGACTTCTTATGGCGCTTTTCATGTCTGCATCCGAAAGAGAATTTAGCATCCTATTTGTTGCTTGCTGGATGATGTTGCTTAGGATCAGCATTTGTTTTAGAAAAATTTGTTTACAATTAACATGCATAATCTCTTGTCATTACATTAAGTTTCAATGTCCTGCAGGTGTTTTCTTCTCCTTTTATCCACTGTGTTTTGTCCTAATAAAAATTTCACTGTATTGTCATAAAACATCTTCAACGATGAAATTCACAAAAGGAATTCCAATCTGATTGTGGTGTGTGCGTGCATGAAAATATGTGAATTGTCTATGCAAAATGACAAGAAATAGGGGTGTAAATTATAATATATATATATATATCGAGAGAGTAATTTGAGAACCGTCTAGTTTTAGTCGTAAAAATAAACATTATTTTCTCTAAAGAAATTGAATTTGAGAAATATCGTATGTTGGTTGTACATAGTTGTTAATAGCTAAAAGAAATTGTTGACAAATATACTATCACCATATACTAATAACTTTAACTTTCATTTGTTATTTTTATAGTATACTTATTTTATAATTTATAACTTTTATAAAGGCATGTTTATATGATTAATAAATTATTTGTAACTTTTGTATTAAAAAGAAAATAAATTATTTATAACTTTAAAAATTTTGTATCTAGCCATGCTAATTTTTTATATATAAAATTTATTTTAAAACTTATATATTTCTATGAAATACATACAATTATTTTAAATTTATTTATTTTTAATAAAAAAATATTTTTACATATTTTCATTAAAATTTAAATCATATATTATATATATTATAATATTAAATTATTTAAATATCATTTATATATATATATATATTTAACTATTTTTCAAGGGTTTGTCCTATTTTTCTCTCTTTTTCCTTGGTCATCGTTTGTCTCTTTTCTTCTTCATGTTTGTGATCGGCAGCATCACCAGCTTTGGTGCTGGTTGCCGACGTTAATTGTAATACCCCAAATATCATGTCAGTGACCTAGTGAAAAGATTTAAAATTTGAGGATTTATTTGAATAAATGATAGAAGATGAGAAAATAATTTGGAATAGTGTTTTAGACTAATTTGTAACAATAGATAATTAAAGAGAGGTTTATCTCTTCTTCTTCTTTCTCGTGTAAGGCTCTCCTCCATAGCCAAAGGTAAAGTTCCATATTGCAAGTTTTTCCTTTCATTTTTGGTTTGTTTTTGAAACATTGAGCATCATAGAGGTTTGAGGAAGGATGGAATAAGATTAAAACTAAGAGATAGATGAAATAATTGAGATTTAAGAAAATGGGTTTTTGAATGATATGTTAGAATATGAGTTTTTATTGATGTTTACTAGCATATTTGACTTGTCAAATAAGTAAATAAGAGATTAAAAGCATTGGATGAGTTTAAAAACATGTTAAAAAAAGTGATATGATTCTTGGATTGAAATGTTCTTTGGAGATGGTAGATGTTATAAGTAGCTAAATGAAATAAAGTTATTTGGGATAAGTAAAGAAGAGATAGAGAGTATATTTGGATATAAAAATAAGGAAAATTGGCCAAATGTGGGTAAAAATCAGGCTGAAAATGGAAAATTTGGGTAAGGGTATCGGTACTGGAAGAACAGTACAGAAACTATAGGCTTAAAATTAGAAGAAATCAGTTGAAAAGTATTAATATTGATGCAACTAGTATAAATACAGATGGGGTATCGATACTAAGAGGAATGTATCGATACCATTGATTACAGAATGCAGAAATGGTATCGATACTGTAATGGAGTATTGGTACTATAGTATAGAAGTATCGATACCTTGGTATGGGTATCGATACTATTGAAAAAGGAATTTTATGATAGGTTAAGATTGTTATAGAATATTAAATAATAGTTCTTTTGAGTATTGTTAAAGTATAAATGTTAGGGAATATACTAACAATTGGTATGGTATGTGTCTTTAATGGATGTTTGAATAGATCATAATCAAGCTCCATAGTCAAGCAAACCTAAAGGCAAAGATAAAGTCGTGAGTAGTTAGATTTTCATTTTTTTAATATAATAGCGAGGCAGGCCAGGTGAGTGCATTTATTATGTACTTATATGTTATGATAGTCATAGATGCATGTTTCTTAATATATGTATAGTGATTACCAAATGGCACTGTGTGTGCAAAACTAATAAATTCATAGTAAGTTGTGGATTATCGTATTGGCACTACGGGTGCAAACTATAGAATTTATAATGAAATTAAATAGTTAATTGATATTATGAATAATTATTAAAGTAGGAAATGTTCTAAAATAAAAGATTAATGGCCTAGCTGTGCATTTGATAGAAAGGTGTCAATTATGCCAGTTAGATGAAAGGTTAAATACCTTTGAGTAAAAGATTAATGGTGTGCATTTGACAGAAAAGTGTCAATTATGCCAGTTAGATGAAAGGTTAAATACCATTGAGTAAGCTGTGCATTTGACAAAAATGTTTCAACTATGCCAGTTAAATGAAAGGTTAAATACCTTTGAGTAAAAAAATTAATGGCCAACTGTGCATTAGACAGAAATGTGTCAGTTATGCCAGTAAAATGAAAGGTTAAATACCTTTGAGTAAAAGATTAATGGCCTAGCTGTGCATTTGACAGAAATGTGTCAATTATGCCAGTTAGATGAAAGGTTAAATACCTTTGAGTAAAAGATTTAATGGCCTAGCTGTGCATTTGACAGAAAAGTGTCAATCATGCCAGTTAGATAAAAGGCTAAATGCCTTTGAGTTAAAGATTTAATGCCTTAGCTATGCATTTGGCAGAAATGTGTCAATTATGCAAGTTAGATGAAAGACTAAATACCTTTGGGTAAAAGGCTAAATGATTAACAGTGCATTTTGACATAAACGATGACATTTATTGATTTGACTAAAAGGATTGTAAATGAATCCTATAAAGTAGACAATTTATCATGGTTCTGATAGCCAAGACATACTTATGAATAAATTTTAATTCTTTTACAAGGTTATGCATCACTAAACAAATACTTAACGTATGTTGATTTCATGCGTAGGTAACAATCAAAGATTTGTCGAATAAGGAGTGCAGCAGCAACAACTTTCATCAATCAAAGGTTGACTCGTGAGTAATATTGGGATAATCTTATTCATTTTGAAAACTTAGCTGACATGTAATTGAACTTAAGAAAATATTTTGTAATGTATTTAAAGTGATAATTCTAGTAATATGTTTCTATGAATGTTATGCTATTTTGTGATTTTAAAATTTGAAACAAAATTTTTTAAATGAAAAAAAAAGTTTTAAAAAGTGAGGAGAGATCTGTAACTCGTGTACGGAAGGGTATACGGGAGATGGTGTTACATTTATTGGTATCAAGGCTACAGGTTTAGCCGATTCTTGGCCGAAACTGGGTTTAAATTGAATTGAGAATAATGATTACATGCAACTAAGATTGTCAAAGTTACTAATATGGTGTCAATTAGAGTGCGATTGATGTCACTCCTTATTAACTTGAATGTTATTATTGTGTATGTTCTAATAGATGTTGGAAATTAAGGACAAAGGTAAGAAAGTAGATAATATTGAAAAGAAGGTCGAAATTAAAATCGATCCAAGAGAAGTTGAATCGGATAAGGATCCAGAGGGGATTTCTGAATTTAGTGAAGATTCCAAGGTTTCTTCAGGTAAGCTTAAATAATTGAGAAATATTTAAGTGAAGCATTAAATTGTTTAAAGTATTGTTAATTTGAGTAAGAGGAAATGAGTAAACGGTGAATGCATTGACCGCTAAAAGTTTACAGAAAGATGAATTATTAGTGGATCAACTGATTATGAGTTTGTTTAAGAATAAATGTTATGTTTTATAGATCTAATAGAGTTACTTATAGAAGGTAATTTGTGAAAATGGATTTTCTACCCATTTCATACTTCAATGAATTATTATTTAAAATTGAGATTAATTCTCGAGAACTTGGAAGGGTGTCAAGTTTGTAATGATAGGAAAAAAATAAATTTGGTTACTAGTGTAATTTTAGCATTAACTGCTATGAGGATATTGCTACAAAGTTGTCAAGTCTTCTTATTAAATGATTTGGATGATTAGACTTTCATAGTTGATATAGAAAATGTTTTAAATGTTAGAGAATATTTTAAATGGATCCAAAAAAGTTACACGGATTACCTCAAGAAGGAAATGAAAGATTTTAAAATAAAAGTATTATATTCAACTTAATCTCGAATGAGATGATATCGGTAAACCCTAGTGAGTCATGGTACAAGTGTGAGATGGACGAGTAGTAAACCTTTAATAAAGATTTCAGGGGCTATGTTCCTGGTGAATATGATGGAATTATCATTTGATAAGTTAAGACCATATTAAGTATAGGTTGTTTGTCTCCAGAGACGATTAGTTCAGAAAGATGCAGAGAGTATGGAAATTATAGTTTTGGAGGGAAAGTAAAATCATTGCTCAAGGTGATATAAATACTGATTGTGAATAAAATGATGTCAGAAAAATATATATATAGCTTTTATGGCTAATGTGATAGATACTAAAATAATTAAAGTAGAATTGTTTGATAATTTCACAAAATTGGGAATTTTATAGATGTCTTTTCAGATAAATTTATTGAGTTACCTCCAGATCAAGAGGTGGAATTCAAGGTAGATGGTTATTAAGGTATTGAGAATGTTTTTATGATTTAGTATCAAATGGTTTAAGTGAGTCAAGAGAATTAGGGGCTCAATTATAAGAGTTGATTGATCAAAGTTTTATCAGCCGAGTATTTCATCGTGAGAAGTAATTGTGTTTTTAGCGAAAAGAAATATAAATCTATATGGTTATGCATAGATTTTTTACAGTTAAATAATACTATTCGAGAGAAGAAGTTGTATGCCAAACTATCCAAATATGGAATTCTGGTGGCATAGATGGATTTCTTTGGCCAGGTTGCTTCGACATATGGTATAAGAGTAGATTGGAAACTCCCAAAAGAATGATCATGAAGTCGGATTTCTTTGGGGCTTGCTGGTTACTATCGAAGATTAGTTAAGAACTTTTCGACGTTAGCTTTGCTGCTAACCAAGTTTTAAAGAAAGATGTGTCTTCTGTTGGATGAAGAAGGGTCAAGAGAGTTTTGAAATGCTAAAGATGATTTTAATAGAGACACTATTGTTTATACAACTTGAGTAGGATAAGGATTATGTAGTTTTTACTAATGCATAACCCAACAACTTAGGAAGTGTACTTATGCAAAAAAGTAATGTTGTGGCATATGCCTCGATAAAGTTAAAGACACACAAAAGGAATTACCCTACGCATTCTTTAGAGTCGACAATAGTCAAGTTAGTCTTAAAAGATTTGACGCCATTATCTGTATAGTGAGCGGTGCTATAGTTGTGCTAATTACAAAGGCCTAAAGTATTTTGGAATTAAAGAGAGTTAAACCTGAGACAGAAAAGGTGGACATAACCTTTAAGGGATATGAAGTGATTATTGATTATCTTCCAGGAAAGACCAATATTGTTGTAGAGGTACTTGGTCAGAAACCTTTTTCAGTTTTGTGAGCTATGGACGTGCGATTAGTGTTGAATGAAAATGGCATTGTGGGCTAAATTAAAGATGAGGTTAATTTTTTATTAGATCTAATAAGAGAATTATAAAGGAAAGAAGAAAATTTCTTGATAAGAATTTTATAAGTAAAAAATGAAGAGGTTAAGGACTTTTGAGGTCAAGTTCAATGGATGTTTGTATTATCGTGGGAGACTTTGTATTCCCGATGATTAAGAATTTAGAAAGATATTCTTTTTGAGGCATTAAGTACGTTGATTATGAATTCAGGTGGAACAAAAGGTACCAAAATTTAAATTGTCGGTTAGGTGGCCTGGTTTGAAAATAGGCATCAAGAAAATTTTAGCAAAATGTCTGATGTACTATTAGAGGAAAAGTTGAACATCTAATATTTTCTAGATTGTTTCAATCAATCTCGATTCATGAATAGAAAAGGGATCATGGAAAAAATATTTGTTTTTAGAAGAAATTGCTTGTGATAACAGTTATTAATTAAACATTAAGATGGTTGTATACGAAGCTTTATATAAGAAAAAAAAAGATTGAATAACAAGAAGGTGATAAAGTTTTTCTGAAAGTGTCGCCTTGGGAGGAAGTATTGCAGTTTGGACTGAGTTCGAGAATTATTGGACCTTATGAGATTGTATCAGTTAGCATTACCTTCCGAAATTGACAAGACCTATAATGTTTTCATGTGTTATTTCTTATTAAGTATCGGTCAGATTTGAATTATGAAAAAGAATCAATTCGGATAAGGACTTGAGAAATCAAGAAACCGCGTAACAAAACGATTCCTCTAGTTGAAGTGTTGTGGTAAAAGTATAAAGACTTTAAATTCGAGGACGAATTTTCTTAAGGGGGAGAATTGTAATACCCTAAATATCAGGTTAGTGACCTTAGTGAAAAGATTTAAAATTTGAGGATTTATTTGAATAAATGATAAAATATGAGAAAATAATTTGGAATAGTGTTTTAGACTAATTTGTAACAATAGATAATTAAAGAGGGTATTTTGGTCCTTTAAGGGGAAATGAATTTAAAATTCATTTGTAGTAGGGTATTAAAGTATAGGAAAAATGGGGGGGGGTAAACAGTAGATTATCTCTTCTTTTTCTTTCTCGTGTAAGGCTCTCCTCTATAGCCAAAGGTAAAGTTTCATATGGCAAGTTTTTCCTTTCGTTTTTGGTTTGTTTTTGAAACATTGAGCATCATAGAGGTTTAAGGAAGGATGTAATAAGATTAAAACTAAGAGATGGATGAAATAATTGAGATTTAAGAAAATGGTTTTTGAATGATATATTAGAATATGAGTTTTTATTGATGTTTACTAGCATATTTGACTTATCAAAGAAGTAAATAAGAGATTAGAAGCATTGACTGAGTTTAAAAACATGTTAGAAAAGTGATATGATTCTTGAATTGAAACGTTCTTTGGAGATGGTAAATGTTATAAGTAGCTAAATGAAATAAAGTTATTTGGGATAAGTAAAGAATAGTTAGAGAGTATAGTTGGAGGTAAAAATAAGGGAAATTGGCCAAATGTGGGTAAAAATCGGGCTGAAAATGGAAAATTTGGGTAAGGGTATCGGTACTGGAAGAACAGTATCGATACTATAGGCTTAAAATTGGAAGAAATCAGCTGAAAATTATCGATACTGATGCAACTAGTATCGATACGGATGGGGTATCGATACTAAGAGGAAGGTAACAATTCCATTGATTACAGAATGCAGAAATGGTATTGATACTGTAATGGAGTATCGATACCATATTATAGAAGTATCGATGCCTTGGTATGGGTACCGATACTATTGAGCCAGAAATTTTATGATAGGTTGAGATTGTTATAGAATATTAAATAATAGTACTTTTGAGTATTGTTAAAGTATAAATGTTAGGGAATATACTAACAATTGGTATCGTATGTGTCTTTAATGGATGTTTAAATAGATCGTAATCAAGCTCCCGAGTCAAGCAAACCTAAAGGCGAAGATAAAGTCGATGAGTAGTTGGATTTGTATTTTTTTGATATAATAGCGAGGCAGGCCAAGTGAGTGCATATATTATGTACTTATATGTTATAATAGTCATATATGCATGTTTCTTAATATATGTATGGTGGTTACCAAATGGCACTGTGTGTGAAAAACTAAAAAATTCATAATAAGTTTATGAATTTCCGTATGGGCACTATGTGTGCAAAACTAAGAAATTCATAGTAAGTTGTGGATTGTCGTATTAGCACTACGGGTGCAAACTATAGAATTTATAATGAAATTAAATAGTTAATTGATATTATGAATAATTATTAGAGTAGGAAATGTTCTAAAATAAAAGATTAATGGCCTAGTTGTGCATTTGACAAAAAGGTGTCAATTATGTCAGTTAGATGAAAGGTTAAATACCTTTGAGTAAAAGATTAATGGCCTAGTTGTGCATTTGACAGAAAGGTGCCAATTATGCCAACTAGATGAAAGGTTAAATACCTTTGTGTAAAAGATTTAATGGCCTAGTTGTGCATTTGACAGAAAGGTGTTAATTATGCCAGTTAGATGAAAGGTTAAATACCTTTGAGTAAAAGATTTAATGCCCTAGCTGTGCATTTGACAGAAAGGTGTCAATTATGCCAGTTAGATGAAAGGTTAATTACCTTTGAGTAAAAGATTAATAGCCTTGCTGTGCATTTGACAGAAATATGTCAATTATGTTAGTTAGATGAAAGGTTAAATACCTTTGAGTAAAAGATTTAATGGTCTAGCTGTGCATTTGACAGAAAGGTGCCAATCAAGCTAGTTAGATAAAAGGCTAAATGCCTTTGAGTTAAAGATTTAACGTCTAGTTGTACATTTGGCATAAATGTGTCAATTATGCGAGTTAGATGAAAGACTATATATCTTTGGGTAAAAGACTAATGATTAACAGTGCATTTTGACATAAACGGTGTCATTTGTTGATTTGACTGAAAGGATTGTAAAGGAATCCTATAAAGTAGACAATTTATCATGGTTCTGATAGTCAGGACATATGAATAAATTGTGATTATTTTATTAGGTTATGCATCACTAAGTAAATACTTAACGTATGTTGATTTCATCCGTAGGTAGCAATCAAAGGAAACAACTTTCATCAGTCAAAGGTTGACTCGACAGTAACATTGAGACAATCTTATTCATTTTAAAAACTTAACTGGCATGTAATTGAACTTAGGAAAATTTTTGTAATGTATTTAAAGTGATAATTCTAGTAAAATGTTTCTATGAATGTTATGCTATTATGTGGTTTTAAAATTTGAAACAAAATTTTACAGGTTTTTAAATTAAAAAAAAAAGTTTTAAAAAGTGAGGTAACATATTAACTCGTGTACGGAAGGGTATACGGGAGATGGGTGTTACATTAATATTTATTGTTTTTCCTTTGTTTTATTATAGTGTATCTTTTTTTCTTATTTTTCTTATTTTTAACAATTTTGCCTCTACGACACATCTTTTTCTGTATTTATGGCATGTTTTTCTCTGCCTTTATGACATATTTCGTTCGTTCGGTCTTTTTTTCGTTTATCTTTTTTTTCGGGGTTAGAATTGACATTATCACACTAATCAAGATGACGCTTATTTGTTATCATGCTGATCTTTATTGTTTTTGATCATCTAATTAGATTTGGATTTGTGATTTACATTTGTGGATAGTATTTTCATGTCGCTCGATTCTAATTTGCGGTTTGTCGATGGTCTTTCAATAGCTTCATCCCCTTTTGTAGTTTGTTTGACGATACAGTCAAATATATTCATATATACTTTTTGTTCGAGTTTATTTGGTTAAGTTTTTAAACCTTTCCTTTATTGTATGATCCGTATGTGATCTTAAGTGGTTAATTTTCTTGTGTTTAGGAAAATATCTTTATTATTTGTTTAGTTTATGATTGTTGTTGTAAACCTTCACTATAATTTAAATATTTTTTAGTTTTTAATAAAATTAATGGCTTATATATATATATATATATATATATATATATACTTATCATGTTATATCTAAAATATTAATTTTTTTTAAAAAAATACATTTTAACAATAATATTGATTTTTTTAAAGTATGACTATGATATATTCATTTGTCAAAAACATCGTCAACAATTTCTTGCTAAATACATACTGAACAAATACAATCATGATCATAAGTAAAATATAACAATTATCGACTGGTGATAGCTTGATAAGCAAAAACGTGAACAGTTGAGATAACGACGTACATAATCGAATCACTCTAACGTTCCCAAACAACAACAACAACAACAACAACAAAACCCAATTCCCATATGTATGGGGTAAGGGGGAGGTAGGGTAGTAGGCTACCCCCAACGCCAGGTTAAGAGTAGCTTCTGTGGAAGACCTCCGGCAGTCAGAAAATTAAAAATTTAGATAAAATGCAATGCATGTATAAATAAATACATAAATACATAGCTAATCAGTATTCATATGCAGTCATTAAAATCATATGTGCGTCTGTAACTGGAATTTATCCCTGCATAATAATCCCTGCGAAAGAATCTCTGCATATAGACAGAAACATAAGATCCGGCTAATTTAAAAGAGGAAACATGAGGAAACATGAAGAGAATGATACACAGAAGTCAACGTTAGCAAGCCCAGTTCTAATCCTTCATAAATACCAATAACAGAAACGTATTAAAAGTATAAGTCATGGAAAATACTACAAAGACATTAAAAGAAGACAGAGATGATACACCCTATAGATGTGACCCACACTACTCGACTACCCTAGTCTTTAGCCTCCATATTTTCCTATCAGAGGTCATGTCTTCGGTAAGGGCTAAATCCCTCAAATCAGATCTCAAGCAGTCTTCCCACTTTCACCTTGGTCGTCCTTTCCTTCTGGCACCGTCGACTGTAATCGACTCTACCCTCCTTACCGCATCCGACGGTAGTCACCTAAGGACATGCCCAAACCACCGTAGTCTTCCCTCCCTCAATTTTTCGGAAACAGACACCACCCCCAAGGACATCCTAATAGCAGAGTTTGTCGTCATATCCCTCAGAGTCCTACCACATGTCCATCGAAGCATTCTCATTTCTGCGGCCTCAATCCTCCTCACGTGATCCTTCTTGGTTGCCCAACATTCTGATCCATACAACAGCGCTGGTCTTATTGCCATTCTATAAAATTTTCCCTTAAGTTTTAGAGGGACCTTCTTGTCACACAGAACTCCAGTAGCGGCCCTCCACTTTAGCCATCCCGCCTTTATACGGTGTGTAACGTCATCATCTACACCCCCATCTTTATGTATCATAGACCCTAGGTACTTGAAACAATCCTTTGAGGGGAGAACGTGTCCTTCTATGCATACTTCTACATCTTCATCATTTTGGTTCCCATTGAAGTTTGAACATACATACTCTGTCTTTTCAATATTGATCCTTAAACCTTTTTCCTTCTAAAGCAGTCTTCCAGGTAGCCAGTCTACTATTCAACTCAGATTTTGTTTCAGCAACTAAGACAATGTCGTCAGCGAAAAGCATACACCATGGTACATCGTCTGGTGTCGCACAATAGATGTCGTCCATAATCAAGGCGAAGATGTAAGGGCTAAGAGCCGACCCCTGGTGGAGTCCGATTTCCACCGGGAATGCCTCGGTGTCGCCAACTGTAGTCCTGACGTAAGTAGTAGATCTACAGTACATATCACGAATCGCCCGGATATAAGCAGTTGGGATCCGTCTAGTTTCCAAAGTCTTCCAGATCGTATCGCGGGGAACACTATCATAAGCCTTCTCAAGGTCAATGAACGCCATGTGAAGATCTCTAGACTTTTCCCTATATTTCTCCATAAGCCGTCGAAGTAGATGAATCGCCTCCGTGGTAGACCTGCCTGGCATAAAGCCAAATTGGTTTTCCGAAACCCTAGTAACTTGTCTCAACCTAGCCTCTATCACCCTTTCCCATAGCTTCATGGTATGGCTGAGGAGTTTAATACCTCTGTAGTTACCACAACGTTGGGGATCTCCTTTATTTTTATAGATTGGTATCACCGTAGACTCTCTCCACTCCTCTGGCATCTTGGCAGTCTCTAAAATAATATTAAAGATGTTGGTCAACCACTTAACTCCCTCTTCTCCTAGGGCCAACCACACAGTGATAGGAATTTGATCAGGACCGACAGCTTTGTCCCTTCCCATCTTTCTAAGAGCCATTTTGACTTCCTCCAACCCAATCCTACTTGTAGGGCAGTCATTGGCCGTAGTATGATAGTCGGCTAACCCATCAACGATACTATCTCTACATGGAGAGGCACCGTTATTAAATAAGCCAAAGAAGTAACTACCCCAAACCCTCTTAATATCGTGATCTTTCGCTAAAAGAACACCATTGTTGTCCTTAATAAACCTAATGTTACCTAGATCCTTTTTCCTAATCTCCCTAGATTTTGCAAGTCTGAAGATGCCATTTTGTCCTTCCTTGGTGTCTAATCTCTTGTACATTTCCTCGTATGCCTTATCCTTTGCTTTAGCTACCGTTTTCTTGGCTTCCCGCTTTGCCTCCTGGTATCTTTGTTTAGCTCTCGACCTTTCTTCGTCGTCATTGCATTGTAGAAACTCCTTGAAGCAAGTTTGTTTTGTCTTCACCTTAGTTTGGACTTCGTCGTTCCACCACCACGATTCTTTATGTTCCTTGGCCTTCCCCGTCGACAACCCAAGGGTATTTTTGCCAACATCTCTGATGGAATTTGCCATATTTTTCCATAACATATCTGTATTTTTTGAGTTTGTAGTTTCTAAACTTGTATTAGACAAAACCTTACTCCTAAAGTCATCAGTTGTCGCTCCATGTAAGTTCTTCCAGAGGATCCTAGGTTTACCAAGTTTAGCCCTCCTATGAGTGCTCCGCCCGTGGGGTACGTGGTACACCAAAACCAACAATTTGTGTTGTGATACACATGCCTCTTCAGGGAACACCTTACATTCAATGCAAGCCCATCGTTCCTGATTTCTAATCAAGATGTAGTCGATTTGGGTACAATGTCCCCCGCTATGAAACGTAATCAAGTTCGCATCTCTCTTATTAAAGAAGGAGTTAGTGATCACCAAATCGTGAGCAGTAGCAAAATCAAGCAACGTACGCCCCCCATCGTTCCTGCTACCATAACCGAAACCCCCATGAACACCGTCATACCCGTCGGTTGCACTTCCTATATGGCCATTGAAGTCTCCCCCTATGAAAACTCTTTGGTCCTCCGGAATGCTCCTAAGTATATCATCTAACTGATCCCAGAAGCAACGTTTCTCCCCCTCCCCTAGGCCAACGTGTGGGGCGTACACTGAAAGGACATTCACTACTTCCTCTTCTATAATAACCTTAATCATCATGATCCTATCCCGGTATCTGCAAACTTCAACTACATTTTCCTTGAGCCTAGAGGATGCCAAGATACCCACCCCATTTCTAGCGTTATCTGCGCCTGAATACCACAACTTGTACCCATTACACTCTCTGGCGCGAGACCCTTTCCAGCTAGTCTCTTGAATACATGCAAAATCTATTTTTCTATTATTTAGTACGTCGGTCAGCTCCAGCAGCCTAGCATTTAATGTGCCTACATTCAGCGAGCAAACTCTTAATCTAGTCTCCTTGTCACCACTCTGTCGAGCCCTCCCCCTATACGCCCCATGGGATCTAAAAGAATGACATGACCTCAAGTAATCATCTGTAACCGAAGCTATGAGGAACTATGAAAAAAGAATCCAAATAAGACAGAAGATGCACTAATAAAACGCTAGAGAATTGAGGAGTACTAAAAATCCTAGTTGGTTACTTAATAGGATTTTAAGAAATAATAATACTATCTTATTTAACTATAGGCCAATATCTAGAAACTATAATTTAAAAAGTTCAATAAATATCCGAGCTAAGCAAAAAAGGATTAAAATTGTAACACGAGATATAAGAGTAATGAAATCCTACTCAACTAATTGAAAAACATCAAACCCAAAGCTGATAAAAAAAATCAGTATAAAAACAAGAGAAAAAACAGCAAGAAGCTAAGTCAAAGAAAGCAGATCCAACAACAACAAGATTAATAAATATTAAGTACAAAAATATGCAAGGGATATGCAAAACAACGACAAAGCTAAAAGGGGTATATCAAAATTCGTGGATGCGAAATTAACACTCTTTGTTCAGATAAAAATTTGATAAAAACCGTGCTATAACACAAAATCAAACCTTTACCTATCAAGAAAATTAGCATGCAAAATCTTATGAAATTAGAAGAAAAAGAGAAAACCCAGAATTTTTGTTCAGAAATTAAACCGCTGACGAAGGCGATCGTTGCTCTACGAGGAAGGTGGTCCGATCGAACTGGAGGTTGTGGGATTTGATATAGTTCCAGATATGCTTAACAGCGTCCGTACGGGAAGCTTGTTGAGCTCCAAGGAATCGACCCAAAGCAGGGGAAACAGGGGCGATTTTAAAAATCCCGGACGGTCGAGTCGTGGTTCGGGGCGTAGCTGGTTTTTCAACCTTGGGTTTTGAAGTGGTCGACTTTTTCGGAGTTTTAAGCAGAAGTTCTGTTTTTTTTTCGCTGGATCTGCAAAGAACGCGGTTACTCCGCCAGAAAGAAAGCTTAAAAAGAGAAGAAAACTGAAAGAACAATGAAGAAAGAGAGATTAGAGCTATGAGTGACAGCAGATAACTACAGAAAGAACAAGGAAAATTGATAAGCGTGAATGAGAAAAACTGAAAATCTAACGTTCCCAAACATCAAACATAAAAAAAAACCCAAAAACTATCCAAAACGAACGAATGAAAAAATGATCTCCCCTTAACTGTAAACTCATCCCGACAAGATAATAATATTGAATCCTAAATCTTATACCAAACCAACTTTTTCACCTAATTTTCAAAAACCATCCTAAAAAAACAAGTAATCATACAATGATGTTGGCATGATCTGTTTCGTGTAGTGTGGATATTTGGACTTTGATGTGGGAGACTCATGCTTTGTGAAAGTCAATGACTTATTGGGGTGCACAAAGCTGGTTATTCTGTCCCTGTTTGTCTTTTCTGAGTTTCTCCTCACTGATCCCCTCTGCTTCTTTCATTACCTCAATGCCCTGCCGCTAAAATTCCAGGTCTCCCACATCATATCCAAACCCAAAACTGTGATCTAACATCATCCAATGAATCTTTAACTATTTAGAGGATCAGGACCCAATTTTAACTACCAACAAAGAGGCAAACACCCTTTCCTTCAACTCTTCGTGAACTTTCTTCCATTTTCCTCTGCAGAATCGGGTCTACGGTTGAATTGCTAAAGAGGGGGTTCATTGATTGGGGTATTTGCTGATCTGGGTTTCTTCCAAATCTCCAAATTTGGATAAGATTGAGGTTGAATTGGCTTGGGAGTGGCTCAACGAGCTAGGGTTTCGAAAACTTTGATTATTCTTCTTTTTAATTACTTGATAAAGTGAGTGCGGATCGATGGAGGCTTATAAGACATGGGTTAGGAGGAACAAAGACTACGTACACTCTTTGGAGTCTCTTGCTAATGTAAGCCTGTATCATTTTTTGTCTTTCTAAAGTTTCATAAGGTCAACTTTTGTTTTCCTTGATTGGGAAGGTTAATTTTGATATCTTTTATATGCTTCTTGCTAAATGACTTATAATTCTATTTTTTAGTGTTGAGTTGCATTGAATTTATTATTTCTGCTTATGCTTCTATGATTTTATCCAAAGTTTATTTCTTGTTTGATTAATTTAGAGTGGGTGCTTTCTGGGTGTTTATGCTGATGTAAGTTCTGGCTGCTGCCTCCTCCATCTTTACTCTGCAAAGAATGAGATGAAAAGTGAAGGATATTCATTTTTACAATTCTAATATAAAATGAAAAGAAGAGGAAGAAAAAGAATTCCAATTTTACATGTGTTTTCTTCAGATATTGAATATGGAAACTCATTCCTGCTAAAAAGAAAAAATGATGGGTTATTATGTTAGTTAGAGTGATGATTATCTGTAGTTTTGGAGATTTCATTTAGCTGCTCCTAGAAGATAGATTATTTCTTTTACAATTGTCCATACTATATGTTCCAACTCCAAAGTTGATTTTTCTTCTTCTATGGACTATGAAATATAGTTTGATTATTTGTATTATAGTATCCTTTTTGGTTATAAATGTGCTTGGAAATGCGGGCAACAATTAGTGAACGACCGTTTTCGATAAGGTTGGGAAATCGGACTGTATCTTATGCTGTTATTGAAAATTGTTGTGCAGGGATTGACATGGCTTCTTCCTGAAAGGTTCTCCACTTCAGAGATAGGGCCAGAAGCAGGTTTTGTGAAACTTTGGTAACATTGGCTATTTCTTGATAGCTTAGAAACTGACAAGAGTTCTCCCTCTCTTGACCCCTACTCGATTTAAAAGAAATGAATTAACATGTTTAACGTGATGTTCGATTACTTCCTTATAGGCTCCAGTTAGATGTAGCACCTCCCCACTTCTTTCATTTGCTCCCTTGGCTTGTACAAGTCAGTGTGAAGACGAGCGAAATATTTCCAAAGATGCATTTATACTTTTCATAGACTCTTGACATTTTTTATCATATTGAACTATTTGTTAAATCTATGCAGTAACTGCATTTTTGGGGATAATCACTGCCCTCAATGAGCATATAATCGATACTGCTCCTTCCGAGAGGCAACCTGGCTCTGCTGACCCTTCATCATTCCCTTATGGGTTGTGCATATCGGCACTAAAGGACTTGGAAACTTTGGTTGAAGTTGTTGCAGAGCATTACTATGGTGATAAGAAATGGAATTTCATTGCTGTTACAGAAGCTATCAAGTAAGAAACCTCCGATTATATGATGTATGACACATTAATCTTTGCCTAGGTTTTTCTTCGTAATTATTTGGTAGCATGCCTTTGCCTAATAATTTTGTACTTGATGTAGGGTGATGGTCAGATTAGCTTTATTCCGGAACAGTGGATATAAAATGCTTCTTCATGGAGGAGAGACACCAAATGTTGAAAAAGGTTCGGACGATACAAGTTCACAGCATAGAATTGGAGGTTTTACTGGACCTGGAGGTTATCATCATGGACCTGGTTGGTTACCGAACAATCATGGGCAAAACCCATGGAGTTTTGAAGGAAGGGCTTTGTCTGCTTTGAGCAGATTTGGAGAGAGTGTTAGGACGACGTCCAACCCTACATGGATCCAGAGAGTTCCACAACAGCATCCAATTATGGAGCCCCCAAGTGATTATTTCCTTGATATTCCATGACTTGTTACTAATTATGGTGAACTGACGATGAGGAAGCCTGCTAATTTTTTCATTTTATTTCCTTTTGCAGCTTCAATTATTAAAAGGCCTACACTCGCCATGATTCTGTCGGAGAAGGGCGTTAATGGAGCTCTATTTGTTCTGGGGGAGATCCTCTTTATTACAAGACCACTTATATATGTTTTTTTCATTAGAAGATATGGAATTAGGTCTTGGATTCCTTGGTTTATTTCTCTGTCTGTGGACTTCATTGGATTCGGCTTTCTATCACATGTTACAAAATCCGGGACAGTTGAAAGAGAGCAAAAGTTCCATTTTTCTGCCTCCGAAAAGGATGAGGTTAAGAGTCTTTAGATATTTGCGGATCAGTCATCATCCTTGCTTAATAATTAACGTTCTTCCTAAAATTATATCTGTACTGATACAAAGCTTATGATCCAGGTCAAACGACGGAAACTGTTGTGGGCACTTTACCTCATGAGAGAACCATTCTTTGGCAAGTATACCAGGTAACTGATCAAACATATCAGTTGTGAAGTTGGTAATATATGTTGTTCGTTTGCTGATACCTTTCCTACATGTAAGAAACTTAACAAATTAGTGCATGTTTGTTCTTCAGGCAAAAGCTTGAAGGCACTGAAAGGCTATTGGAGCCGGTTCCATTAATCGGGACTCTAACAGGTGCATCGGACAGATCCTTTCCCTTTTGATCTTTCGAATATATAATTCCATTCATGATTATTGATCAAACTAATTTAGCAGGAAAATAATATGTTATATTTTGAACTTTTGGCAGGAAAAATTGTGGAGCTTATAATCGGAGCGCAGACGAGATACACGTACATGTCGGGATCTTGAGAATGCAGTGGCACGAAATCATGTTTTGTTGCTGTTGTATTCTTTTAACCATATTAAAAGCATAAAAGTATTAGTTGATGACTGAGAATCAATTTTGTATTTCATTCCATCCGAATCGAATATTGAAACGAAAAGGCAGGCAACAACACGAAGTCTCTGGGAGTAGATGAACAGCAAGAACTAGAAAACAGGAGTTTGATTATATGGAATAGGTGTTTGTTAATTTGAATATCCAGTATTGTACTGTTTGAAGAATTTTTGGTTTGAAAATACCTGCTTAAAGCTTCTTTGCAACGCACAATATAAATTACAAGACGTAGGCTCATTTGCTTATCAAGATTTTCTCCAGATTGCCGAGAAAAAAAGATCATCATTTCTACAAACTTGTATTTTCATTTTTCATTTTTCAAAAATGATGATATGGTTATACATCTTTCATATTTCTTTGACTTTATATAAAAAATATTTAAACTCTTTTTTTTATCGAGGCGTCGGAACTTTTTTCATCATAGATATTTAATGTTATAAACATTACTATTTTAAGTGTTTTGCCTACAACAATCATTAATTAAAGGGTAATCTATGTCAAATATCACTCACCTTTAGGGGTTGACTCGAAAATGTTACTGATGTTTCAATTTTGTCAATTTAAGCACTGATGTTTATGTTTTACTCCAATTAAGTCACTCCGCCGCTAATCCGTTAACGGGACGATGACATGGCATGGATGGGCCGTGACGGTGATGACGTGGATGACTTACCAAAACGACGTCGTTTCAGCACAATTATTTTGATGCTCAATAAAGACAAAACGACGTCGTTTTGCTTGAAAATTTTATTAAAATGACATGCAACTAATAGGATTTGATCCCCAAACCCCTAGATATTAAACAAAATACTTAACCATCGAACTACCGTATATTTCTTTGTTGGTTTTTCTATAAAAGTTTTAAAATTATAAATCTCTAGTTAACAATTTTATTTGGGGTTCAAGCATTGTTAACCGGAGATTTAAAATTTTAAAACTTTTATAGAAAAACCAACAAAGAAATATAAGGTAGCTCAATGGTTAAATATTATGTTTAATATTCAGGGGTTTAGGGCTCGAATCCCATGAGTTGCATATTATTTTAATAATTTTTTCAAGCAAAACGACGTCGTTTTGTCTTTATTGAGCATCAAGATAGTTGTGTTGAAACGAAGTTGTTTTGGTAAGGCATCCACATCATCACCATCACGGCATATCCATGCTATGTCATCGTCTCGTTGAGTGGCTTAATTGGAGTAAAACAAAAACGTCAGTGCTTAAATTGACAAAATTAAAAGTCAGTGACATTTTTGAGTCAGCGCCTAAAGGTGAGTAATATTTGACATAGATTACCCTTAATTAAATTATGTCATCTAATACGAGTTGTATTTATAAAATTTTTGAAACTTTTATTTAAAATAAAAAATTTAAAATTATAATTAAAAAAAAAACTCAAATACATTAAAACCTTTAATCCCAAAACTCAAGTACCAGTCGTTTGGTTGCGGCCATCGACAAATAGCCACTCTAGTTGTCATCGCGCATCCTCTAAATTTGTAAATTAAATCCTTAACATTCAATTCCCTAAAAATTCTCTAAATATCTTTGGCCGGTCAGAACAATTACGGCAGTTGCAATCAGTCGTTTGGCTGAGGGATGCAATGGGAGGGAGAACTTATTTTTTTTCCCTTTTAATTTTCAGATAATGATTTTTTTTTACGAGCGTTATATACCAAATATTTAAAATAGTAACGTTTGTAATATTAAGTATCTACATTAACTGAAAAAACGTTTAGAAATCAGAATGAAAAAAGAAATAATCTGGACATTTTTTTATATTAAACCTACTTCTTTATACAACTAGATATATGTTATTAAAATTTTAAAATATTTGTTAAATTGTACAGAAAAAAAATATCAGTGTATATATTGTCTCTGCACCTCATATGTATATGTATATGAATATATATTAAAACTCAAATTATACATTTCAAAATAAAAGGACTAAAATGATCAAATTATATAATTAAGGGATTAAATCGATTGAAACCATATATTATAGAGGCCTTTAGAGAATTTGGCCAATGTAATGACCTTCAAAGCTTAATCGCTTCTCCCCTGTTAATTTGAAACCTGCCACCTTAAACCCTATCTGTCCTCATGGTCCTAACACGTCTCTCCCGCCAAAAACATCCGCCACTCTTCATAGCCATCAGGTTCGTCACGCGCCACCTTTCCTCCTCAAAACTCCGTGACCATTACTCCTTCCAACCACCACCGTCCCTTTCCCCAGACACTCAGAAAACTAAGTCCAGTTCTAACCCAAACAAAAACCAGAAACCGAGATATCGACCCCCATCGTCCCTTGATCAGATAAAGCGGAAACACTCCGATTTGCCCTTCGATTTCCGGTTCAGTTACACCGAGAGCAGCCCCACGGTGAGGCCCATTGGGCTGAGAGAGCCAAAATACTCACCGTTCGGTCCGGGTCGATTGGACCGTGAGTGGACCGGGGTTTGTGCACCTGCCGTGGACCCTAAGGTGAAGTCGGTGGAGGGTACTGAAGATCCGAAATTAGAGGCTAAGAAGAAACTGTTGATGGGCAGGATTCAGGGGGCACCTCTTACTGAGGCTGAGAGGAAGTTTTTGGTGGAAAAATGTCAGAGAAATAGAACCAAAAGGCAAATAAATTTGGGTATTGTAGCTCAATGATTTTCTTTTCTTCTTTTGATTTTTGGCATTCGTATTGCTCTGTTTTCTCTGGTTTGAGTCTTTGGTTTATACTATCATTTGAGGTTTTTGTCTTTACATTTTTGTTGAATTGTTCGATGGTTGTTTGGGCTTGTAATTTCATAATATTGATTGATTTACTGAAGTAAAGGTAAGAAATTCACAATATGCGATATTAATAGTTTAATATACTTTGATGTCACGAAGCTAAAATTAGAAGAAAAATATGATCAAATAAGGTGTTAATAAAATCTTAGATATATCTGTTATCGCCTGTTCTAATATTAGGGAAGATTGATTTTCATCTGTGATGGACAGTTGAAACTCTTGAAGGTGAAGAAATGCTATTTTAGACATGACAAAGCTCCCAATTAGGTGGTTTGCCTTGCAAGTTGATCAATCCCCTTTAACTTATTGTCAGTTTTTCCATTGCATTTGCTCTCCTTAATCGCGCCGGTTGTCTTATAGCATGGTGTTCTGCTGTCACCTGTAGGGAGAGATGGTTTAACACATAACATGCTGAACGATATTCATAATCATTGGAAATTTTCTGAAGCAGTGAGGATTAAGTGTCTTGGGGTCCCTACTGTTGACATGAAGAATGTATGCACGCAGCTTGAGGTACATGGTTTACTGCTAATTTAAACAGCGTACTTCGTTCAGCTCAAGCATTTTCAAGGGAAGGGATTTCCTTTTTCTTTTAGTATCTTTAAGTTTCTGGATGTGATGGGTTCCCATACTATGATCTCATGCATCTCATGTATGTGTCGATAATATATGTACTTGTTTCTTCCTATATCATGAATTGAAGATACATGAAAATAACCGTGAGGTATTTTCTTCCACCATGAATTTTGAATCACTATTGCAGGATAAAACATTCGGAGAGATCATCCAGAGGCATGGTGGTACACTTATTTTGTACAGAGGCCGGAATTATAATCGCAAGAAAAGGCCTGTAATTCCTTTAATGTTGTGGAAACCCCAGGAACCTGTTTATCCCAGGTTGATTAAAACTACTATCGATGCTCTAAGTATCGAGGAAACAAAAGAAATGAGAAAGAGAGGACTGGCTGTTCCTGCTTTAACGAAACTTGGTACCATTTGTTTCTTACTGTTGGCTTCTGATATTTGGCATGCTTTTGTGGTTACTTATTACAAATAAAATTTGCAGCCAAGAATGGGTATTATGGTAGTTTAGTACCCATGGTGAGAGATGCTTTTCTGGTCAGTGAGCTGGTGCGTATAGACTGCACAGGACTCGAAAGAAGTGATTACAAGAAAATCGGCTGCAAGCTCAGGGTAAATATTATATTCATTATAACTTTCTTTGCTGAAGAAACTGGTTTACTTCTGATCTGATTTGTTTATGAGCATACGCTTGCTTTCTTTTCCATCACATTCAAGAGTCATTGAGCTTTCAGTCTTAGCATGAATGTCTGTAGTTTCAATAGCTTTTTGGAGTTAGTTTGCCCTTGGTTCCTTGCATTCTCGAATTAGTATTTTTCTCTCGAATCAGCCAAGTTCTCTTTTCGTACAGGACCTGGTTCCCTGTATCCTTGTGACATTTGATAAGGAGCAGATTGTGGCGTGGAGGGGAAAAGACTATAATCCTCCAGAGGATGGGCATTTCTTCATCGATCGAGAGTTTTTTGATGACCCAAACCGTGATATGGAGAGATCTGAGAGATTTGACGAGGGTAAGGATCAATAGGTCTTCATCTATATTGTACGTGCACTTTAAATGTAACCATTTTCCTTCTCTCTTACATAAGAAATGAAAATGGTTGAAATTATACAATTAAAGACCTTGGAGAAATGCAGGATTAGACGAAAGATACATGTTTGTTAATTTCATAGACCGATTCTCACAACATCAGAGCAGATTGTAAATCATTCTGCATATGCACTGTCTGTCAGGAGACTTCCATTGAAATTTAGCTTTGTTTATGGAAAATTTGTGGTTATGGTGGCTTTCGATGGTTCACTCCATGGAGTTTAGATGGAGAATCTTAAAATAAATAAGCTGGAGAAGATGAACAATAGTTTTAGATTTGGAGAGAGCGAGAGAGAAATTCCCTCTACAACTTTGTACGACAGTTTATGTACGAATTCTTAGTGTTAGTGTCAGGTTTAGGGTGATAATAGCTATTTGTATATCAGTATGATAGTAGACATGGTTGTCTTATAATAGATTTAATCGGTGATGGGACTGACAACGGTCAAATAAAGAGATTGTAGCATTCAGGACATCAAACTCTGGAAGCGCTGTTTGAAAGGAGGAATACAAGATTTATACTCGGAAAAATTATATTATTATTATTTAAGAATATTTTCCCAATCATAAAAAAAAATCTATCAAAATTGGCTAATCTTGGAATTTTTGTTGGCGCCAATCATGTTCCACGAGGACAACCCGATCAGCATGCTAAATTGGAAAATTTTGACAAAAATATTATTATTATTATTAATTGGATTAAAATTTTTGCTAAATGAAAAACAAATACTCTATCCGATAATATTGATTCCAGGATTCGGATTTTATTTATCATATAAATGAGAATAAAAAATACATATATTATATATATAGTCGAGTTCAATAGAAAATATAGTTAAAAAAACATAAAAATATGAATTTACAAATCCAATTTTATATTAAAAATATTTAAACCACTAATAAATAGACACCTAACAAATTCATGGATTTAAAAAATATTCGAAAATGTCACGTGCTTAAATCGAAATTTAGAAATAGAAGTTCCGGAACGCTATCTAAGAAAAAATTAATTATTAACTCTATAAGTACATGGGATAACTCTCAAAATAAATCAAAGCATAGGGACTGATGACAAATTCTAACCATTGCTTTTGTTTTCTATACTTTTCAAATTAGGAAAAGTTTGTACTCTAAACGAAGCATTATATTTCCGAAATATATTCTTAAGAAATATTATTTTGTCATATTTTACCTAAAACTAGCGAAGTGAAATCAAGTAATTCGATAGGTTTCGGATTAGATTAGGTTAGGGTACGTCAAATAACATACGAATTATGTCATTTCAATTTAATAATTCGGCTCGAGTCAGGTCAAATATGAGATTATTTGTGTTTTTAAGGAGACAAAAAGATCAATTAAAAAGTGTCAATGCGGTCAGACAAATGTTCCAAACCAACCTTCTGTTACTAGGGTAACGACTTGGTGACCAATTTATTATAAAATAATACATTAGTGATCATTTCATTATTTTAAAACTTCACTAATGAAAGAAGAAACTTATTAATATTTCAGTGACCATCTATATAGTTTACCCTTTTGTAATGCATAATATTTTTAAGGATAAACTACATGGTTGATCACTTTTGTTTAAGTTTTGTATACTTTTTCTCATTGAATTTAAAAAGTATAATATTTGATCACTTTTATTTTTATTTAATTAAGACGTGATCACCGATGATTAACTATCGTTAAACCTTTAATAGATTGTTGATGTGGCACAGTGAATATATAAAATTAAAGAAGGTAAACTACACAAATGATCTCTAATGTTTGAGTAATTTTCATTTTCCCTACTGAAATTTTAAATGTAATAAATTTGTCACTAAAACATCAAAAACTTTCTAATTTCTATTTTTTTCCAAACACCCCACCACCATCACTATATTCACGTGAACCACACTTCACGCAGCACCAACCCTTCACGAACTAACATCTCCATCTTTTTGTACAGAATTTTTATTAAATAATGTTTGACGTGATTCTATGATATGATATGCAGAACTGCAGACATTGATTTGCTATGCAAGTTTATGCGTATTGAAAAAAAAAAAGTTTATTCCATAGTTTACATGAAGTTAGAAGGCGTGGTCTTAAAGTTTCAGCTGTTGGAATACCTAAAATCATTGACATTGACATCCCGATTATCTTTTTGGCTTGTATAGAATGTTGTTGAGCCAGAAGCCTGTAAGAAATTGCAACATATTTTATTTGGTTACCACAGTCTTTTGTTCGAAAATTAATTGAATAAATTGATGTTATTTATAACTTATTAATAATAAACCATATCACTTGGTGAATAGACTTAATTTTTGGTTTAAAGTTACATCCATTCAATCATACCTATTCAACAATTTTCTTCATGAAAAGATTAAATTCTTGCATGAAAATGTCAAGTCATTTCATCAAATGGTTAAGTCCTTTCATCGAAAGGTCTTAACCATTCAATCCATTTCCTCTCTATATAAATAGGATAATTTAGGCACAATTAGACACAAGTTAAAAGTTATAAGTTTAGAACTTAGAAAATTCCATACAAATTTGTTCTTTCCAGTTATAGAGAAATGTAAGATTGTGGTTGACTAATCACTAAAATTGTGTTTACAATTGTGATTGTTTGTTGTTGTATCTTGGGAGACCTACGTCGAATATTACTCAAAGCACCGAGGAGAGAACGAATCTGTCTTAAGGAAATTATTCATACAGATCTCAACAAAATTTCTTCTTCTGTTTTCTGACTTTGCTCATTCGATTACATAGAGTAAACAATTATGTTTATCTATTTTAATTCTTTAATTATTTTACTTATTTATATAGCAATATTTTTTTTTATTTCTCAGATTATTATTTTATCTAACATCTTTTAACTTTGTTTTCTTTTCATGCATGATAGGTTATTGACAAGTCCTTTGACTTTGATACTGCTGTTAAGGAGGTTCAACGCGCCATTAATGCTGCTCACTGAAAGTTTTGAGAATGGCATTGGCCTTGTGAAGTTGATGGGTCACTACAGCGGTAAGTTTCTTTTTTAGTCTATCTTAGAAGTGTTAATCACTACAACAAATTTGTCAATTTATGACAAAATTTCTATATGACGTTACATATATCGTCACAAAACATACTATAATGTGATGATTTTTTATTTTCGTCATATTTATTGATTAATGGTATATCTTTTATGACAATTTTAAAATGGTCATTGATTTTTGTCACTATATATTTGGCGCCAAAATCTTCCCACCAAATTCTTTGGTGAAAAACCTTTTAATGACATTTAGATAAAATAATAACGTAAAATCGTCTCCGATGAAAAATAGGTATTAGTGACGATTTATTATAATGAAGATTGAATTTGAATTAGTGGCGTTGCACATTTGTCACTAATAAATTTTATTCGTGACAATTTAATTTGTCATATTTTATAAGACACTAAAAGTGACATTTTATTATTGTCACAAAAATAGTTTTAGCATGACAAAATCAATTATTTGTCATTTGTTTTTATCTCTCTTTTTTTATATGACGATTTTAGAAGATGTCAAGAAATTATGTTAGTTAATGTTAAAAAATAAGATAATCTAACAACCATATTAAATAATGCAATTTATAGAGTTTTTTTGTGTTTTTTTATTTTATTAACATGATTCTATATTAAATTATCTCACATTCAAAGTTTTTTTTAGAATAAAACATAAAATAATAAATTGTTAAAAAGAAATGAGTAGAAGATTTTTTTATATATTATTGTCCTTCTATGATTTTCATGATGTTACATCAAAGTGTTTAGGAAAAAAATAGATATTTATACTTGATCATAGAAATACCCATAAAGTTTTAGTATATTTAGATACATATAACATCAATAGTTTTAAAATATAAAATATTACACTTTTATATAAAAAAACTAATATTATAAAACAATTTTCATAAAAAATTAAATTATAAAACTCTTAAATTATAAAAACGATAAGTTTCAACATAAATAACTTCAACCGTCTTTGTATAAAAAATAACAATCACACAGTTCATACATAAATAACATAGCTACAAAATAGGTTCTATATCAGTATCATATTCATCACATTCAATTTCATCCCCTCCAATGTCATCTTCAGTCTCTTGATCACTGTCAACCAAAACATTCACATTATCTACAATATCACATTTAATAATAGTTGTTGTAATGTCATCCCTATGCAAAGATATATTTGTTGAAAACTGCATTTCCATATCGCAATCATAAATTTCAAAATCTTCATCAACATCAGAGACTTCATCATTTTCAACAGTTTGCATCTCTGGAACATCATATAAATGTCTATGGTGAAACTTTTGAATTACTCTCCAATCTTTACCTAACTTGGTATCATCCAAATAAAAAACCTGCTTAGCTTGAACTGCCAAGATAAAAGGGTCACTTTCATACCAACATTTGTTAATATTGACACTTAGCAAATGACCGTCTTTGTGAATTCTCCTCTTTTTATCACCCAAGTCAAACCACTTGCACTTGAGCAAAACAACTTTATAATCATTGATATAATTCAATTGAATAATATCATCCAATACACTATAAAATTTTATTTGGTCCTCATTGTGACTATCTTCAACTGTCACTCCACTATTTTGACTTGTCAAATGTTCATCACGTGCTATAGTGTAGAACCTAACCCCATTAAAAATGCAACCTGTGTATTTTTTAGCACGTCTATCAGGACCATAAGCTAAAGAAAGCAATTCACTAGATATTCTTTCTAAACCTTGATTGGTAACCTACAATTTACATGAAATAAAATAGGCAAAAATTATAATCGATATTTGCACAATCTAGAAAAAAAATTATAATATCATATACATACATAATTTTTAAACCATAAGGGAAATTGCTCTCTATGTCTTTCTTCAATATACAACGAACTCTGCAGTTGAATCTCCATTTTATGTTTTCTGTTTTAATAAACATAATATAAGTTAAATGATATTAAAAGTAAATCTTACATGAACGAGTAAATGGCAAGTAAATTACTTACTCCATAAATAGTTCAACTTCATCACAATTTGTCAATATATACCATTGCATCATTTCAAACTCTTGGTCAGATAAGAATTCATATTTTGTACTTCCTAAAGAACGAAAGCTTCCTGAAAAATGAGGAGACTATGATTATGAAATTGTTTCCCCCATCATCATCATCATTTCTATCTTGTTGATTAAATTTAGTCTCAATCCCAGAGAGATACATAGAACAAAAGTTCAGACATTCGGTTGAAATATATGGTTCTGCTATACATCCTTTCGGACAAGCCTTGTTTCGTGTATATGTTTTAAGCTTAACTAAAAACCTATTATATACAAAAAAAAACTTGTTATGAAAAAAATAAATTTATAATATTATAATTTAATTTAAAATATAAAAATTAAAGAATTACCTCTCAATATGATACATCCATCGATAATGTACGGGTCCCCCAAGCAAGACTTCACGAGGCAAATGTATAACCAAATATACCATCACATCAAAATAACTTGGAGGAAAACTCTTTTCCAACTTGCACAAAATGATGGCACTATTCTTTTGTAAGTCTTCTACTTCATTCTTCTTTAGTTCTTACAGCATAATCTTAAAACAAGTTTCCAAGTTCATCTAGTGCTTGAAACACATCTTTCGGAACGAAATCCCTAATGGCGACTGGAATCAATCTTTATAAAAGGATATGACAATCATGACTCTTCAACCCTGAAACCTTACCATCATTTACATTAACGCATTGTGAGATGTTCGACGTATATCTATAAAAAAACTTTACTGACTTCAGAAAACAACAAAACTTTTTCCTTTCCTCCTTTGACAGAGTGTAACATGCATTAGGAATCAAGTAAGAACCATCTTCTTCTTTTTTCAAATGTAATTCTTTCTTGATTTTCATGTCCTCAAGATCTAATCTTGCAATTACACTATCTTTTATTTTCCCTTCAATGTTCAACATCGTTCCTAAAATGTTATCACATATGTTCTTCTCAATATGCATGACATCTAGATTGTGTCGTAACTTCATTGTTTTCCAGTAAGCCAGCTCAAAGAATATGCTTTCTTTGTCCAATTCAACTCTTCAGGGGTACGTTTCCTCTTCAATTTATTCGGATATTTCCCAAAGTCATTCTCTATGAGACAATTTAATTGTTGTAACAACTCAATCCCAAATACATCTTTCGGATTTGATCTATTTTCTATCTTACCATCAAAGATTCTACTTTTTCTTCAAACATGATTATGAGGTAGAAAACGACAATGAAACATGTAACATGTCTTATTTCTCAACTTTCGTGACGGCGCATCAACGTTACAAATGGGACATGCCAAATATCCTTTTGTACTCCAACCTGATAAATCCCATAAGTAGGAAAATCATTTATAGTCCAACGAACAGCTGCATGTAGTTAAAAATGCTCATTCTTGTAAGCATAATAAATTCACACTCCATTTTCCCATAAATCTTTCAGTTCATTTATCAATGGCCTTAAATAGACATCAGTATCTTTCCCTGGAGAGTTTCTTCCAAGAATAAATAATGACATCATCATGAATGGCTTTGTCATACATTTTCAATGAGGAAGATTATACGGAATAACAATAATTGGCCATCTACTATATGTACAACTCATATTCTCGAATGGATTGAATCCATCAGTTGCTAGGCCAAGCCTAAATTTTCTCGGATCACTTGCAAACCATTTATTCTCCTTGTTGAAATCTTTCCAAGCATCTCCATCCGCCGGATGCCTTAATGTATCATCGTCAACACGCTTTTCTGCATGCCACTGCATGTCTTGTGCTATGCTCTTTTTCATAAACAATCGTTGGAGTCTTGGTTTTAGCGGAAAATAATGTAGAACTTTCCATGGTATTTTATTCTCAACAACCTTCCACCGTGAAGTTCCACATTTCGGGGCAACTTTGTCTATCTTTGAACTCCCCTTAAAATAGAGCACAATCATATCTGCATGCATGAATTGGTATGTAACTAAGTCATATTTCTCTCAGAACTTCAATTGCATCATAATATGATGCTGGAATTGTACTATTTGGAAAAGCCTCTCTCAATAGTCCCAATATCATATTTATTGTTTTGTTACTCATTTGGCAATAAGCCTTGATATGTAACAATTTAACAATAAAGGACAATGTAGACATGCTTGAATATCCTGGTAATAAGACACGTTGTGCATCATTCAACACATTGCTAAAACTTTTACCTTCTTTTTCACCTTCACTAAAATTAAAACCTTGGTTTGTTTGATCTTCATCTAATATGGGGAACAAATCTCCTAATAAATCATTTAATCCATCATCTAAGACTTCAGCATCATGAGATATCCCCTCATTAAATGGATCACTCCTACCAATTAAATCAAATTGCTCACCATGATAAACCCATTTGGTATAACTTTCTGAAATACCTTTTAAAAGTAAATGATCTTCCACCTCATTCTAAGTTCTAACACATACATTTACGCATTCCTGACAAAGACATCGAATTTTACATTCTGATCCCATATTGCTTGTAACAAATTTCATGAAAGATAAAACACCTACAACATAGTTCGCAGAATATTTGGACTCCATCATCCAACTTTTATCCATGGTGTTAAATTATCCTAGTACAAAATAAAAAATATATATAAAAGAGTTAAGTACAAGATCAAATAGTAAAATTAGAAAAAAAAAAACATGAATTTAGAATTAAGACATGAGCATAGTTAAAACAACATAATACAACTTCACAGTAATATAGATCACATGTGAAACAACCATTGCTTTGGCAGTGTATATGACAATTGGCAACATTACCTTCAGTTCTCGGCAAGGGAACAACTTTCACAAGAGAAGAATATGAAATTCGTGAGGCATGAAATCTTCACTTGGACTATAGTATTTGTTCGGGGAATACAAGCGTAAGTTGGAGACAATCCTGTTGAACCTGCTGATGAGCAAGTCACACTTGATCCCTTCAAGACTATTAAAAAGGGATGGTTGAAATTAATATCATTATCTGCCACTACTAATAAAAATAAATCAAGGTCTAAAGGCCTAACCTCCAAATCACTCAGAGTTGAAATCATATTCTGCTTTTCATCATCACGAAGACTTTCAAATCTAAGTAACAAGAACAACTCTTTGCTAAAATAAGAATGAAAGGAAAAGGAACCAAAACAAAAATAATAACAAAATTTACTAAAGAAAATATTAAAATTCTCGATTGTACTAACGATTTGAAATTTTGAAGTGAATCTTTAATGAAGATATCAAATCCAGGGTTCCAAGATAGAATTATTCACTTTGTCATTATGTGTGAAAATAGGGGTAGTGATACTAAAGACATCATTAAGGGGTAGCAGAATTGATGACATTAATTTGAATGATCAAATCATAAAATCAGTACTTACTTGAGAGATCACTTCAAATGATGAACTTGGTCTTCAACAAGATCACGCTCGTTCCTCAACAAGCTTAGTTGCTGCATGGACATACAAGTATCGGTTGCAAGGAATTAAAAAGCTATTATAAAACAGGAACGTGGTAAGAGTTCTCAGGCTTTAGAACTTCTACATGTTTTGGGCTGAATTCCCCTCAAATCTTACGAAACTAATAGATGGACCAACGAATTCCTATCAAGTCAAAAACAGAATATCGTCCAAGTTATGCCACTTGTGTGATTACAACACATTCTTCTTAATGAATTAAAGTTTTACAATAAATTACCCAAACAGTCCCATACAAAATTTAAATTCCATGATAAACATCAAACATGTAAATCCACCTTTCGCTTATCTCTTGATTCCCAAAGCAATTCAACCTCCCTCTCAAACTCTGGAACAACAAGCATTGTCCTCCATCCTAATCATAGAAAAATTAAAGAATTCAAAGCTCTTATGCATCAAGAGAAACAATGTCAGCTTTAGGGATTTGCACATATGATCAATTTAACACACTCAGTTTTGTGGCTAGTAGTTGGTATGACAGATGGAAGTAAGTCAATGGTTTGTTTTTCAATAATGCATTCCCTCATTTGAAAAGAAAAGGACATGGTTGAAACTTCAACATGTCATTTGAAAAAAAGGAAAAACTTCAAGTGATGATGAAACTGTGTTGAGAAAATCTTTTTAGAGCTACATTTATTCAACTCCATTGTTGAGTGCTTATTTTCAGTCATACTGATACGGTTCCACTACCCAGCAAAATGTCAACTACTTGGCCTACACAATTTCCATGATCTGCATGATACTAAAGAGAAAGAAGTCTTCGCTGAATTGCCCTCCAGCTCTGCCATGTTTCCATTATCCCCTATTTTATGGGATTTTAGCTAACTAATAGTCTAGGCTGTATCTTATAAATATCCTAGGAGTTTTTTTAGGCATGATTATTAGTACTTTGGATTTTCTAGATTATTGGTTGTAATAATGTCGAGATTCTTCGCTGCTGCATCTACTAAAAATTATTGTTCTGTTCATCATTTTCTTCCGAAATTCTGCTTCTATCACATACCTTGAGAGTGAATGGATAATATAAGACAAGGGGATGTTGATATATATATATATATATAATGTGTTTCTCATGAATTTACAGGAACCTGAAATTTCTTGATCCATGCAGTTATTCATCACTCTTGAAATATTTTGTGTTGTTTCAAATTTCAAATCATGTTATTATTAATAATAATTGTTTTCATCTTGTTATTCTCCTTGTTTTCTTGCCTGCCTAGATTTCTGGCAGCAGCTAATAGTGGAACTTATTCCTTATCTTTTTACAGTCAGAAACAACAGTGATTAACCAATGCACACAACTTCTTTCATCATCTGCTGAGCCAAATTATGTTATGACTTATCTCAATCACAGTTTCCCTCAACACCGTAAATAACATGGACTTGGTCAGTGACAGAAAATAAATATAAAAAAGAATTACCTGGTTAGCTTTCAGAGGTCAAATCCAGAGAGCAAAAGATAAACCAAATATTCAAGTAGATGCAGTTTTTGTATGCTTTATATCACAACATTATAGAAAGTAGCAAATAATTCAACATACATGTTCTTGGATAAACAAGGCAGAAGAATAAATCCCGTTCTTGAACCTTTTTGGAGCAACACAAACCTAAAAAACCCCAATTGATGACTCCACAAGAATAACACAGATTCCCGATAAGCATATAAACTATTAGACACAACAAATATATATAGAAAGTAAGTTAATTAAAAATATCTTTAAAATTCAATCCAAAACAAATTCTTTAAAATGTATTAATAAATTATTTAATATATAGAAAGTAAGTTAATTATAGTTAGTAAATTAATATATAGTTGATTAAAATATATTAATAAATTATTTAATATATAGAAAGTAAGTTAATTAAAATATATTAATAAATTATTTAATATATAGAAAGTAAGTTAGTAAATTATTTAAAATATATTAATAAATTATTTAATATATAGTTGGTAAATTAATATAAATTATGATCTATACGTCGAAATCGGTGAAAATGACATATATAGAAAGTAAGTTAATTATAGTTTGGGGTGAATGCTTGATAGAGTCAAGTCAAAAAATTTTGACCTATTCGAGTTGACGAGTTATATTTTATAACTCAACTCACATTTAAGGTTTTTTTTTAGTTATTCGAGTTATTATTTGAGTTCTATTTATAACTAAACTTGATTTTGAAATCTTTTAAGTTGAGTTAAGTCTATAAATGTATTAGTTGAGTTTTTTTCTAGTCAAACTAATTTGAAAATATCAATTTTTGAGCCGAATTGAGTTCTATTCACACCTAATTATAACATGTGTTCGGACTATGAGTGTTAATGGATTCAAATCGTCCACTCTTTATTCAATAATCGTTGGATACAACATAAAAGTATATAACTTTTATTCATATTGTGTGTTACTTATGAGCTTTCCCTAGCAACACGTACAATTGATTGTATTATTTTTTGGTACAATAAAGTTTAGGTCAGGGGTGACACCCCAGTTCAGGGTCAGGGCATACCTAAGATCCAATTGAGATTTACATACGAATTTACATATTTTCCACAAAGAGTGACGGTGGTAGGATTCAAATTTGGCCTTACAAGCTCAAATTCACGAATCTCAACCACTTGTACCAACTCTCATTGGCATCGATCATATTATTTTAAATTCTATATATTTTTAAATAATTTAAAATAATATAATAAGAAATAAATATAATTAATACTGTTATTTATAGTACAATCGGTTTAGGGTTTTAATAATCTTATACTTCATATAAGATACAATAAAAATCATAAAATTATTTATTAATATATTTTAAATAATTTACTAACTTACTTTCTATATATTAAATAATTCATTAATATATTTTAATTAACTTACTTTCTATATATTAAATAATTTATTAATATATTTTAATCAACTATATATTAATTTACTAACTATAATTAACTTACTTTCTATATATTAAATAATTTATTAATATATTTTAAAGAACTTTTTAGTTAACAACTCTCTTCCCTCCTTTCATATAACCTTATTCTTCTCTGCGTTCCCTCCATCCAGGACAGCTTTTAGGTAATAAGACTTCAACTTTGGCTTTGATTCTCACTTCTTTGTCTATTAAAAGTGATTTTATGTATGTTTGATCTGATTTTTTTTATGAATTCATGAGTTCTCGTCTGTTGGAGTTTTCTTTTTTGACAAAAAGTTGTGAATTTTGAGTCTTTTCTTTTCTTCTAAGAGTGTTTGAGCTATGCTTGAATTTTCGTAGTTTTTGAAATTGAAGTATATGTAATAATTTTTATATATGGTTCCATGAATAGTAGCTTTTTATTAATTTTTCAGACTCTGGGTTGTTTTTCTTTCAGGTCCTAGAATGGAAATTTTGTTTCCTTTTGAATTGTATGTAGAAACCATAAAGTTTTTGAATTGTAATATGTCGATGCAATCCCTAAGAGAACACAGTCTATTTACATATATGATTTAAGTATATATGTCGATGCAATCCCTAAGAAATCACTAGATTATATAAGTGTTCGTTGGCTCAAATCCAACCTGTAGCACCTTTTATTAATTAACTGCTATGTTTTTATTAATAATGATAGGGCCTTAATCACATTCATGAAACACATTCATGAACTTATATAATTCACTGCTATGGTGTAGGATATGGACGGTACATGCGCCCAGCCCAAGGTTAATTCCAAAACATATTGAAACTTTATAATTCACTGCTATGGGGTAGGATATGAACGGTACTGCTATGGGGTAGGATATGAATGTGTTTTGAATCTCATACCAGTGAATTAATTCAAACTTGGCTTAGATCACACAAAATAAAACACATTTATGAACTTATATAATTCACTGTTGGTGGCCTTAATCACATGGGAAATCATATTTCAAGCAAATCTATGCAGTGGAATATAACGTGTAATTTATATAAATTCAATAGTATTGTTTCGATTAATTGACTATAAAATATAATATTTATTTTATTTTTTATTAAACACAAATGGTAGCAGCAGTATTCTGATCTCATTGCTAATATATATTACTTATAATATTTTTTTATATGTTTTAGGATGGCACCATGCAAAATATTTCTTAAAAGGATTCGAACACAAAAAAATGAAACTCAAGAAGTCTCCAGTAAACTAAATCGAACCCAAGAATCTGAACCTCAACAAATTAATGATGCTCCAAATCAAACACATGGAGAAATTGATCCAGATACAACAATTGAAAATTCAGATAAACATTATTTCCAATATTTATATAAATGAATAGCAAATGAGGATTGAGTAGTACCAATGATATAGTTAAAAAAATATAAAAAAATAAGAATACGTATATATACATATTATTTTATTTGTAGCAAAGTCTTTGACTTTAATGTTGAATAATTTATTTATTTTATTATTATTCCAAATTAATATTTTTATTCTATAGATTCAACCAATTTATCACATAAAAAGGTATGAGGACCAAGTCGAGGTAAGGGACTAAAAAATCTCATGAAAGGTAAGAATAAGTAGATAGTAGAGATACCAGAGGGAAATGGTCGACCTATTGATGCAGTTCAATCAGCCAAATTATCTTCTGAAATTGGAATCATTTCACGACAATTCATATCAATACCAACAAAATGGAAGGATATGAAGGATAATGATAAACTTCATGCCCTAGAGAGACTCAAAGTGAGTTTATTTAGTTTAATATTTCTTTTTTTAATATTTATGTACTTAATTTATCTAATTATATATATTTTTTAATGTTTTAGTCAAAGTTTGAGATGAAATTAGATGATGATTATGTGAAGAGCTCTGTCATGTCAATTATGTCAAAGTTATCAAGGAACCATCGACATAAGGTTCATTTGCACTTTAAGAAATTCCCAAATGTTGTTATGGTACGCCAAAACAAACCGACACAATATAACTTGACACAAGAAACTTGGGAACAACTTTGTGATTTGTTTAGTGATCCTGAATATCAAGTACGATTACTGTATTTTGATTTATGTGATTCAAAAATTTTTTACTCTTTTTTTTATTTTTATAATAAATTATAAACTATGTTTATACATGTTTATAATTGAAGAGGAAGTGTGAAACTAATGCAAGAGTTAGAAGAAATGTCAAGTTAACTCCTAATCAAGGATCTCGGGCTTTTGTCGCTAGCCGATATGCTATGGTAAGTTGGACACTTTTGATATTTATTATAAAGTTTATTTTTATTTTAAAGTATAATTTTTATTTTTGAAATCATATAGCGCAAGGATGATGAAGAACCAAATAGGATTGATTTCTTCAAGGCAACTCATTATTCAAATGACAAAGGATGGACAACATTTGAGGCACAAGCAAAATATGTAAG